TTTTATATTTTTGAAACTATTATGAAAGGTGTTGTTTCCTTGATTTTATTCTCAGTCTGTTTGTCATTTGTACAAAATAGGTTTACTGATTTTTGTGAGTTAATTGTATATTAAACTACTTTGTTGAAAGGGTTTATCAGAACAAAAATGCAACTGCAGAGGAGTAGGCCAGAGCCTGAGACCTCTGTGGTACTGGACCTGAGCCAGGGACTTCTGCAGGAGTGAACCCAAGACAGGGCCCTCTGAGGGAGTGACCAAGGTCAGGGACATCTACAGAAACAGGCCTGAACCAGTGACCTCTACCAGAGCAGGCCTGAGCCAGCAACCTCTGCAGAGCAGGCCCAAGGCAGCAACTACAGCAGAAAACAGCCCTAAGCAGCAACCTCCATGGAAGCAGGCCTGAACGACCCCCAATATTGCAGAGAACCCCCAGGAGTGCAGAGCAACCTTCAGGAACATGGAGTGACCAACAAGGTGATAGAAACCATGGCCCTGACTGCACCACGAGTGCACCTGAGCCTTGGATCCACTGGCACCTAGAACATTGATCGCCAGAGACACAGACAATCCCAACTCCACCAATCAGAGGAAAAGATAGGTACACAAGGTAAGAACATACACAACATCACAAAGAGCAACACGACAAACACAAAAAGGAGTGACCCTGTAACAGCAAGACTTGAACAACCAAATATAGATGAAGCAGAAAAAAAATGACCTAAAAAATAACTTTAGAAAATGTTTGAGGCCCTTAAAGAGAAAATGAATAATTCCCTCAAAGAAATGGAGGAAAAGACAAATTAAAAATTGAAAGAAATCAACAAATCTCTTAAAGAAAACCAAGAAAAAAAGAATCAAACATATGGAAGAGACTATTCAAGACTTGAAAACTGAAATATAGACAATAGAGAAAACACAAACTGAAGAAATTATAGAAATGGAAATTATAAGAAAATGATCAGAAACCACAAATGCGAGTATAAACAGCAGAACACAAAGATGGAAGAGAAAATCTCAAGCACTGAAGATACAATAGAGGAAATAGACTTAAATCTAACAGGAGCTTAACACAAAACAACCATGAAAAGACCAAACCTAAGAATAGTAGGGCTAGAAGAAGGAGAAGAAGTTCAACTCAAAAGCACAGAAAATATATTTAACAAAAGCAAAGAAGAAAACTTTCCCAACCTAAAGAAAGATATGCCTATGAAGATACAAGAAGCTTACAGAACACCAAATAGACTGGATAAAAAAATCTTTTTGCCACATAATAATCAAGATACTAAACATACAGAATAAAGAAAGAATATTAAGAGTTGTAAAGGAAAAAGGCCAAGTAACATATAAGGGCAGACCTATAGAAGTACACCTGACTTCTCAATGAAAATAATGAAAGCCAGAAGGTCCTGGTCAAGTACTATGCAGACATTAAGAGACCATGGATGCCAGCCCAGACTACTATACCCAGAAAAGCTTTCCATCATCATAGAAGGGCAAAACAAGATATTCTGTGACAGAGTCAACCAATACCTAGCCACAAACCCAGTCCTACACAAGGTGCTAAAAAGAAATCTCAAGGAAATTGGCTACATCAACAAAAACACAGAAAATAGATGATCTCATAGCAGCAAATCCCAAAGAAGGGAAAACACACACAATAATATCACCAACAACAAAAAACAAAATAACAGGAGCTGACAACCACTGATCATTAATATCCCTTGATATAAACGGACTCAACGCACCTATAAAAAGACACAGGCTAACAGATTGGATACAAAAACAGAATCCATTCTTCTGCTGCATACAAGAAACACACCTCAACCTCAAAGACAGACATTGCCTCAGAGTAAAGGATTGAGAAAAGTTTTTTGAATCAAATGGACCTAAAAAACAAGCTGGTGTAGCTATCCTAATATCTAACAAAATAGACTTCAAACTAAAATCAATCAAGAGACAAAGAAAGACATTTCATATTAGTCACAGGGAAAAAATCCATCAAGAGGAAATCTCAATACTGAAGAACTATGCCCCAAATAAAAGGGCACCCTCATATGTAAAAGAAACACCTCTAAAACCTAAATCACACATTAAGCCCCATACACTAAGAGTGGGAGACTTCAACACCCCACTCTCAACACTGGACAAGTCTGTCAGACAGAAAATTAACAGAGAAATAAGGGAACTAACAGATGTTATGACTCAAATGGACTTAACAAACATCTATAGAACATTCCATTCAAACATAAAAGAATATACCTTCTTCTCAGCACTTCATGGAACCTTCTCAAAAGCTGACCACATACTAGGTAACAAAACAAACCTCAACATATACAAAAAAAATTGAAATAACTCATGTATCTTATTGGATCACCATGGCTTAAAATTAAAATTCAACAGCAACACTAATTCCAGAAAGCCCACAAACACATGGAAATTAAAAAATGCTCACCTGAATCATCAATGGGTCAAGAAAGAAATAAAGGAAGAAATTAAAGACTTCCCAAAATTCAATGAAAATGACCAAACATCATACCCAAATTTATGGGACACAATGAAAGCAGTGTTAAGGGGAAAGTTCACAGCACTAAATGCAAACATAAAGAAACTGGAGGGCTGGAGAGATGGCTCAGAGATTAAGAGCATTGCCTGCTCTTCCAAAGGTCCTGAGTTCAATTCCCAGCAACCACATGGTGGCTCACAACCATTTGTAATGGGGTTTGGTACCCTCTTCTGGCCTGCAGGCATACACACAGACAGAATATTGTATACATAATAAATAATAGATAGATAGATAGATAGATAGATAGATAGATAGATAGATTAATCTTGAAAAATCCCACACTAGAGAGTTAACAGAATATCTGAAAACTCTAGAACAAAAAGAAACAAACTCACCCAGGAGAATTGGACAGCAGGAAATAATGAAATTGAGAGATGAAATCAACAAAATAGAACCAAAGATACAATACAAAGAATCAATGAGACAAAGAGTTGGTTATTCAAGAAAATCAACAAAATAGACAAACCTTTATCCAAACTAACCAAAAGACAGAGAGAGAATATCCAAATTAACAAAATCAGAAATAAAAAGAAGGACATAACTACAGACATGGAGGAAATCCAGAGAATCATTAGGTCATATTTCAAAAATCTGTAAGCCACAAAATTGAAAAACCTAAAGGAAATGGACAACTTTCTGGATAAATATCACTTACCAAAACTAATTCAAGACCTGATAAGTAAATTAAATAGAACTATAACCACTGAAGATATAGAAATAGTCATCAAAATCTCCCAACTCATAAAAGCCCAGGACCAGATGATTTCAGCTCAGACTTCTACAAGATTTTCAAAGAAGAACTGATACCAATGTTCCTCAAATTATTCCACACAATAGAAACAGAAGGAACATTGCCAAACTCTTTTTATGAGGCTACAATTACCCTGATACCCAAACCACATAAAAATATTACTAGTAAAGAGAATTGCAGACCAATCTGACTCATGAACATTGACGCAAAAATACTAAATAAAATACTGGCGAACTGAATCCAAGAACGCATCAAAAAAATCATCCACCACGATCAAGTTGGCTTCATTCCAGAGATGCAGGGATGATTCAACATATGAAAATCTGTTAATGTAATCCACCATATAAACAAACTGAAAAATAAAAACCACATGATCATCTCATTAAATGCTGAAAAAACCTTCTACAAAATACAACATCCCCTCATAAATAAGGTCTTGGAGAGAGCAGGGATACAAGAAACATACCTAAACATAATAAAGGCAACATACAGCAAGCCAACAGCCAACATCAGACTAAATGGAGAGAAACGCACAGTCATCCCACTGAAATCAGGAACAAGATAATCTGCTCTCTCCATATCTTTTCAATATAGTACTTGAGGTTCTATCTAGAGCAATAATACAACCAAAGGAGATCAAGGGAATAAAACCAAATTGTGGTGTGTTTAAATATGACTAAAATAAACTTCTCGGTGTTAGAATCTCAATGTTTGAACCAACACTGGCTACTGAGTTATGTTGAACTGATCTGCTTTCATGTCCCTGAGATGGTCACCCACAGTGTTCCACCAGGGTCTGCTTAGTCCCCTGGGAATGGAGGCAGAGAGTGAGGAGAGGCCACAACTGCTAGTTTGCCACAGAGCTGGAGATGAGGCTAGGAGATTGGCTACGGAGGAGGGGAGGGAGAGTCAAGATCTGACGCTTACCTGCCATCCTTGCTGGCTTCCGTGCTTCTCTGGCAGGCTTGGCCAGCAGGTTCCCAGAGAGAGCCTACTGGAGTTGTGGGCTGGGATAACAGATGGGTGAGGAAGGAGGTTGGGGGAGATGGTCTGCAGGATCTACTGGAGATGGGGGCAGAGAAGAGGGGGAGGCCAAAAGCAGGAGGTCTTCGATAGAGATGGTGTGGGACTGGAGGACTGGATCCGGAGGAGTGTAAGGAGTGGTAGAGATCTTAGGTAGGCTACCTGCTCTCCTGGTCAGAGTGGCCTACAAGTTCCCAGCGAATCCCTGCTGGAGTTGGGGGCTGGGATAAATGAATGAATTGGCAGTGGCGTTAGAGTGGAAGATCTGTGTGATCCATTGGATAGAGGAGAAGAGGAGAAGAGAGGCTGCAACAGATGGTCTGCTGAAGGACTGGGAGGAGTCTGGTAGATCGGATTTAGAGGACTGGAAAGAAGGTGAAGATCTGTTGTTAGCCTACCTGCTTCCCCGACCAGAGTGGCCTGCAGGTTCCCAGGGAATGCCTGCAGGAGTTGGGGACTGGGATAAAGCAAAGATTGTACTGTTGACTTTCAGGAGTGATTCTGTTTGGCTCTCCTAGCTTTGGAAAGCTGATCTGTAAATTTCAGAAACATGCCTGACACTGAGACTTTGTAATCAATAGGCACAGCCAGCAAACTGTGGGTATCCAGGAAATGACTCTGAATGAAAAGTAAACCCAGTCTCTCTCTCTCCCTCTCTTCTAGGACAATCCATTTTTTGATCTGCACTTCAAGAAAGTGTACAGCCTGGAGGCCTACAGCTGTGCCTCTAAGTATTCCTTTGCTCGAACGGTAAACAGGCTGAACCATGTGTATCTTAAGAAGGACTTGCACATCGTCAACTTCGATTCAACTTACATCAACGATGACTCCATTTGGTCCTCCAACAACAAGGACTGCCTGGTCCTCATGAGAATATGCTTCTATGCTTTCAATCTTGTGTGCTTGTCCCTGTGTCCCCTGCCACTTTGAAGATGTAGCCCAAAGTCCTTCATCAATGTCCGAAGAAATGGTTCTCCAACTGAATACCGAGAGTCAAAAGTTTGTTTTGCCTCTTTCTCGATGGCTATTATTCAAACTAAAATAAAATGAGGCTTTGTGAACTACAGTGAAACGGATTTTAGTGCAATTGTTAACAGTCGGGACTCTTTGGGTCCCTTGTGTTCAATGATAATTTTCGAAGATGTTGCGTGACTTGGGCTAAGTTAGAGTAAAGAAAAAACTTTAAAAGAGATCCTGGGTTCATAAATAAGGGTTCATTAATCTTTTGAAGGTATCAGTCCTGTTCAAAATATTCTTCAGATCCAAGGTAATTCCTCTAAAAGTTCCAATGGCCTGTATTGTAGAAATGCAAAAGCCAATCTTCAAAATTCATTCAGAACTGCAAAAGGCTCCCGGTAGCAAAAACAAACAAACAAAACCTTGAAAAATAAGTATAAAGTTGGAGGACTCATGCTTTCTGTTTTGGAAACTCACTACAAAACTATTATAATTAAAACAGCATGGTACTAGCATAAAGATAGCTCTAGAATACAAAGCTACTAGGTTCATCTAAGGAAGAAGGAATAATCTCTTCAACTGGTGAGGCTGAGATAACTGGATATTCACACAAAAGAATTGAGTTAGATACATAGCTCACACCAACTATAAAAATTTAGATGAGTCATTAACCTAAGCATAGTAACCAACCCCATAAATTGTTAGAAAGAAATATAAGGGTAAATCTTAAGAACTTCGGGATTGACGCTGGATTCTTATAATGTCCAAAAAAAAATAACTAAACCAGACTTCATGTAAAGATCTCTTTGCACCAAAGGACATTATCAAGAAACTGAAAGTAAGCCTCGAAGGGAAAAAATATCTGTAAATTATCAGTTTGAAAAGGATTTTAAATTCAGACACACAGATAACTCTGTGACACAAAGCAACCCGTTTTAAAAATGGGCAAAGGACATTGGCAGGTATTTCTGCAAATGCACATATAGCCAACAAGCATGAGAAAGATGTCCAACATCACTTGTCATTAGGCAAATGCAAATCAAAACACAAGTGTCAAGTCAGATCTACTTTCATCCCCTAGGATGACTATGTCTTTATGAAATGAAAAGGATAAGAGTTATTGAGGGTGTGGAGCATCTGGCGCCTTCTTCCATTGTTAGTGGGGATGAGAAGCTACAGCCATGTAAGAAATGGGTTTGATGGCATGCCGGAGCAGCACACTCTCACTGCACACCAACTGGCCTCAGGGAGTCATGGGACCACAGACTGTTGACAGATGTTGACAGATCCAGAACTGTACAGAATACAACCTACTGGGGACTTACTAGCAGAAATGTAGGTCTGGTGGCTAGGACATCATCTGCATCCTTGCAATTTGGGTGAGGACAAAAGCTGTAATGTACTTTGTTTAATCACACTAGTATGAAAGTGTCCCTTAAAGAACTGGTATCGCTGGTCTTATCATTCTGGGTTCAGTTGTAAAACACATAACTCTAATGATTTATTTTAACTTTCTGGGAAGCAAGGAGAGAAACTGAGAGGTGCTGTTCAAGGGTAGTCATAGAACATGCAAATCCGGATGGCTCATTCTGTACAAGCAGTTCCTAAGAAGCAAAGTTGCCAGATGACTCAGCATTTCCTTCCGAGGGCAGACCCAAGCGATTCCAGTGACTTGAATCAAGTGTTGTATACTGATGTACATACTATTGTGTTGGCTTATAAGGGTGTTTGCAGCATTCTTCATAATACCAAAAGACGAAAACATCATGTGTCCATCAAAAGATTAGTAAATTGACAAAATATGGTATAGTCAAATAATAGAATATTATTCAACCTTTAAAGAGATAAAAAGTTTCAATGCATGCTATGACGTGGGTAAACTTTGAAAATGTTATGCTAAGTTAAATAATACATAAGAGAAAGGACAGTTATTGCATGATTTGACTTTATGAATTATTTGAAGTAGATACATTCAGAGGCAGAACAGAGGAAGAGATAAGAGACTGGAGGAGAGAAGAATGGAGGCATTCTCAACTGTTACAGTTTCTGTGATGGAAACGTTTTAGAAATGGAAATCATTGTGTAACGTGGTGAATGTGGCAAATACTACCTTCCTGTACATTTAAAATAGCTAAAATAGCCAATGTAATGTTTATATTGAACATAAGTAAAAATGATGCGATAAATAAACAGCATATACTACATACTTTAAGTGTATAGGTTATATGATATGTGATATACTTTAAATGAATAGGTTATATGATAATTGATATATAAAGGAAAGAAGAATATCCTGTGTCTCCTAGAAGGAAAATATGTGAACCCATTACAAACTAAGAGTGGGAGAAACTTTCCTCGCTGTTACTCAAAATCCAGAGACCAAGTAAATAATATTAATTATATGAAAATACATCTGAAAACACTACAGACAAAGCCAAAAGCAAATTGCAAGCTGGAAAAAAACGCAACTTGTGTAAAACTGCATTTCTGTACTGCTAAAGTTGAGGAGTTTAAAAAAGGCGAGCAGCCAATTGGAAACTATATGAGCAGACAGTTGACAGGAGAGGAATTGCCAATGACCCCAGAAAGCTTGGAAGGATGCTTGACCTTGTCCGAAAGAGAAACTGGAACTGTATCTGTGGATGAGCTCATTTCTTGTCTTATAGGGAAAGCCCAAAATATTGATAGTATTTCATTGATATGGAAAATAAAAAGTTCTTGGGTTTATTACTGCATGAGAGAGAAAGTTGACATCCTTTTTCAAATTGTGTGTGTGTGTGTGTGTGTGTGTGTGTGTGTGTGTGTGTGTGTGTGTGTGTGTACGTATGTACTTTTAAATGTGGTGATCCAAAAGATGTATTGGAGCAGCTACAAAATGATATATGAGCAGGCATGTGTTGTTTGCAAAATTTTTAGATGAGTTCAAGTGTCTAATATTGGATGATTAATAGAATAAATTACTGTGTATAAAAAATGAAACAGTGAATAGGAGAAAATAGGGAAGGCTTCAGCACACTCTGGGGGTAGGGGTAGATAATTAGAAGCAGGGAATCTAATGTTTTTGCTTAGGAATACCTATTTGGGTTCTTCAGTTTGGCCCTAAGTTTTAAGGAAGAATGAATAAATAGGGAAGCCATTAATTATTAAATTCTTTTCATTTGGGGGCTCATTGCTCTATGGTTTTTTGGCTAGGTGTCTGGACTACATGTTATACATGTGGGTAACTTCATGGACTCATTGCTGTACATAGCATGTTGGTTCTTGGACTGTACTGTGGGTTGTAAGCCTGAGTTTTGTTTTTGCACATAATCTGTTCAATCTATTCATTGTTAGAATATTCAGAAATATCTTATGTATATTTGTCAAAATCCAGCAAACCTAAAACCATACTTAGAGATTGTGGTTTGAACATGAATGGTTCCCTTAGGTCCATATGTTTGAATTCTTGATCCCCACCATGTAGACCTGGGAAAGATTAGGGATGTGGCCTTGTTGGAGAAAGTGTGGTCTTGGTGGAGGTGAGGTCTTGTTAGAGGATGTATGGATTTCTTGAAGGAGGGGTTGCATTTTGGAGGTGTTACCTTCTTGGAGGAGGTGTAGTAGGCTTTGAGGTTTCAAAAGCACACACCAGGCCCAATCTTTCTCTTTCTCTCTGCCTCCATCTTACAAATCAGGTATAAGCTCTCAGCTGTTGATCCAATGCCATGTCTATCAAGGACTAATTTTTTTATATTAAACCCCAAATTAAATGTTTTTTGATTGCCTTGGACAAGACATCTCTTCACAGCAGAGAACAATAACTAAGAGACACAATAAAAGTACAAACTTTTTTTCTTAAATAAGCACACAATTCCTAGAGCTGTTCACTGATACCTTGAAGCAAGCAGGTCAATTGATAACATTGATCAGGCATCTTACCATGTGAGGTGGGCAGAAGCTACTACTTCCTGCATGTGGTCCTCTTGAAGAAAACCATGACCAGCTAGCAGATGAGGATGTTTACCGCACACACTTTGCTTCAAGATAACAGATCTAGGAAATGCGTGGCTGCTTTTGAAAACAATAGTTCATGTTAATAAGTTTATATTCATATTTACAAGTAACATTTAGAAGTATGATATTTCCACTTCTTTGATTTTATGGGATTATATTCTCTCTTATCCTCAGTTCTTAACAAAATTAATATTTGGCATATGGTTTGTCTACCACACTCCTTGGAAAGCCAAAATTGCACTGCAATGTTAATTCCTACTAATCTTTAAACATCTGGGTATGGGTTTTGGAACACTTCCTCATCATCCAGCGCTACAGTTATTCTAGGCTCAGTATTTCTCTCTTCTAGCTGTTTCCCAGCCCTCTAGGTCTCTTTATAAGAGAAAGATATTTCAAGAAATCCTCAACATTATTTCGTTTTCTGGCTCTGCCACACCTCCTTCACTTATCATTTGGGATTTTTTTCCTGAAGATGTTCCCTTCTCTGCTGTCATCTACAGGACAGCTCCTATTAGGAAAGAAAAATAGAACACATACTGACACCTTTTCTCTAGTCATCAATGTCTAAATATCATAATGATGACAAATTGATTTTTAGTATTATAAGATTCAGGGTCTTACATGTGACCAAAGACATGAAGGACAAGCCTAGTTTTCAAGCAAATTTCAAGCTTCAGCTCATATCAGGTCCATTAGCAATCCCATTGGTCAAAACAAGCAAGCCAAACCAAAAGCATGAAATGGGGAAGTACACTCCACTTACCAGGGGATCAAACCAAGACGGTGTGCAAGCATCTTTGCTTTCTTGGGAAAAATTTGGGTCAGTATATTATTAGTTAACACAATTACTTTCCAAATATTATAGGGTTGCATAAATAATATTTAGCTAATAACAATATTTCTAAAATTCTCTAACCCTAAAATCCTCTTGAAATATCATATATGTAGCTAGATTAGAGTGCGAAGGAAGAGTAGAGGAAGGGAACACAACTGCAAACTGTCGCTATCAGCTTGGGAT